CTCGGATGGTTCGCACAGCACCCCAAACCAAACAGTGTTTTTACAGTGAAGCCACCCCCCCAAAGAAAAACACTCCCACACACATTAACCCTTTGATCGCCCCTCACTTAACCCCTTCCCCCCCCATGCCATTATATACACAGTGCTTTTTTTTTTTTTTAGCACTGATCCACTTTATTTGGGGTCCACTGGGAAATGTCATTGAAACTAGAAGTCAGTCCCCCCCCCACCCCCCATTAGTCAGACATGTTCCTCCGCAGTACCCCGCTTAAAGTCGCTCCCCCCTGAATTCATTATAAGTATGATTTCGATGCGCCGCCATTACTAATTAGAAAAAAAAAATTCCCATATATCTAGACATCCGCCATATGTAAAACACTAAATAACTTTCCACGTAAACCAATTACATTTACACGTTATCGTAGAATTTTCATAGCACAGAACACTGGAGGCCACTCCCTGCCGAAATGCCAGTGAAGCTGGAACACAAAACTCCCCAAACCTTTGTTGGTCTCTTTCATGCCCCTCAGGCCTCAATCACGTTCAGAATCTGTTTCGCGGGGTCATCCCGGAGCATCTGACTCATTCCTCCAAGACCTAAAATGGGGAAGAACAGAAAACCACAGATTACGTTCAATTTAATTCCAATATAATGAATATGGCTGAAACCGAACCAATACCTTCCAAGACCAGTCTGGCAAACCAACTACTACATAGAGCAATACAATATGTACCTCAAACCCCCCCCCCCCCCCCCACTAATCACAGCAATGGAAACCTGCAATTATATAACCCCCCACAACACTAACACCAAATATACAATAGACCTCTTCCCCCCCACCCTCTAAATGTTACACTGTATATAACCTCCTCACTTAATCCAAACCACTAATATTCCACTATATATACACCAGGGGTCCTCCAAACTGCAGACCAGAGGGCCAGATGTGGCCCATTGCATCAGTTTAATCCTGCCCTTGGGGCCACTATTGCCCTCACTGATAACCAATGATGGGGTCACTATATCCTCCCACTGATGGCCAATGATGGGGGTCACTATTTCCTCCCCCTGATACCAATGATGGGGCACTAATTCTCTTCCCATCCTGATACCAATGAACTGGGGCACTATTCCTCCCACTGACACCAATGAATGGGGCACTATTCCTCCCACTGACAACCAATGATGGGGCAACTATTCATCCCACTTGATACCAAGGATGGGGCACTATTCCTCCCACTGATATCAATGATGGGGCACTATTCCTCCCACTGACATCCCAATGATGGGGCACCTATCCTGCCACAGACACCCAATTGATGGGGCACTATTCCTGCCCACACTGAACGACCAAATGTATGGTGCACTATTCCCCTGCCACTCGACACCAATGATGGGCCACATATACCCTGCCACTGAACACCAAATGATGGGTGCCCTATTTCCTGCCACTGTACACCAATGATGGGGCATTATTCTCTCCCACCTGATCACCCACTGATTGGGGCCACTATTACCACCCACTGAATACCAATGATGGGGGCACTAATTCCTCCCACTGATTACTAAATGATGGGTGCACTATTCCCTCCCACTGACACCAATGAATGGGGCACTATTTCCTCCCACTGATACCAAATGATGGGTCACTATATCCTCACCCACTGACACCAATGATGGGGCACTATTCCTCCCACTGATCACCAATGATGGGGCAGCTTAATCCTGGCCACAGAAAACCAATGATGGGGCACACTAATCCCTCCCACTGACACCAATGATGGGACCGACTAGTCCTCCCACAGATACCAATGATGGGGCACAATTCCTCCCAACCACTGATACCAATTGATGGGGCACTATACCTCCCACCAGACACCAATTATGGGAGCACTATTCCTCCCACTGATGATCAAATGATGGGGGCACTATTTCCTCCCACTGACTACCAATCGATAGGGTCACTAATATACCTGCCACTGTGATACCCATATTAAGGTGCAACTAATTCTCTCCACTGACACTACCAATGATGGGGCACTATACCTCCCACTGACACCAATGAAGGGGCACCTAATCCTCCCCCACTGACACAAAAGATGGTGGCAGAATTCCTCCCACTGACACCCAATGATGGTGCACTAAGCCATCCTCCTCCCTCTGATAACCAGATGATGGGGCACTATTGCCGGCCACTGATAACCAAATGATGGGGCACTATTCCGCTCCCACTGATACCAATGGATGGTGCACAATTCCTTGCCACTGATACGCAAAGAATGGGTGCACTATTCATGCCACTGATAACCAATGATGTGGGCATCTATTCCTCCCACTGACTCCAATGATGGGTCACTATTTCTCCCACTGACACCAATGATGGGGGCACAATTCTCCTCCACTGACATCAATGGACTGGGGGCACCTATATCCTTCCCACTGACACCAATAGATGGGGCATCTATTCTCTCCCACAGACGACCAAATGAGTAGTGGCACTATATCGCTCTCCCATCTGACAACTTCGACCGGCCCAATTGGAATGGGGAACTTATTCCTCCCACTGATACCAATGATGGGGCACTATTTCCCTCCCACCGATTACCAATGAATGGGGCAACAATTCCTTCCCACTTGATACCAATGATGGGGCACTAATCCTCCCACTAACAACACCAAATGATTAGACACTAGTTCCTTACCCACTGACACCAATGATGGGATCGCTATTCCTCCCCACGGACACCAATGATGGGACACTAATTCCTCCCCATCGGACACCAATGGATGAGCGGCACTAATCCTCTCCACGGACCTACCCATTGAATGGGGCACTCATTCCCTCCACTGACACCAATGATGGGGCAACTATTCCTCCCACTTACAAACCATGATATGGGCAGCTATTCCCTCTCCACAGACACCAATGATGGGGCACTATTTAAGTAATTCCTCCCACTGATACCCAAATGGATGGGGCACTATATCCTCCCCACCGATACCAATGTGATGGGGCACTACTAGTCCACCCACCTTGATACCAATGATTGGGGTACAATTTTCCCCTCCCCCACTGACCAATCAGGACCTTTTTCCTACTCCCGCTAGGCCACAGTCCCGGCCCTGGCAAAAATTGAAGGACTGTAAACTGCCCTTTGTGTAACCCCCCCCCCCCCCCCCCCCCCCCCCCAATATATATAACACAGACACCTCCTTCCTATTACACAGACACAGAGCCATCTTTCATTAGCCAACTAAAATAGGGTAATCCGCCACCCCATAACCAATGACACGGGGTGGCCTGTAACAATTACCAGCTGGAACCTGGAACCAGCCCCAATGGTATAGGTGCCAAATACAGGTCCAGGGCCAATCGACTCCCTACGGGGGAGCCGAGTACCCCGAAAGGCACTTAGTGCATAGGAGAAGTATTTGGATCCCTACAAGGGTCTGGTAAGTGCCCTGTGGGTGGCCCTCATCACCGGTGTGACACCAAAACTGCTCTAGTGAAACCCACCCGCCACACGTGCCAAGGCATGGATGTGGTTCATCCCCTAGTTGGGAATGATGGCACATGCCTGCACAGGTGCAGCAGGCGCAGTAGGATGCAAGAAAATGCCAATGGACAGGAATGGACCCTCGTGCAGCACCAACCTCTATGCTAGTAACGACTACAGATTACCAGAAGCAACCTTCCTTCACATCCACCAGGATTAATCCTTGTGGTATACTGCAGGTCCGTCAGCAGTCACCTTCTTTGTGGACTGCTAGTCACAACATTGCGTTACAGAGGCCAACACAATCTCAACAATTTTCCGTAGCGTAGGTTGGTAGGGGCACTGGAAGAGATTGAGAATGGACAAAATTCCCCCCAATGAGATAACCAGCGCACCGTCCTCCCGGTACCAGTCCCGAGCGCCCTCTCTGCTTCACCTTGCCCACGACTTTCCTTCCAGGTCCCACACCAATGGTGTAGTCTTACGCCTAGCAATCGATGAAGCTCCGAAAACTCTGTATGACCAAAAAAACGAAAAATAGCTCGTAAAATTGTGCCATCATTTGTTTGGTTTTGCAGCTGTCCACACTTGGAGACGCGAGGAAGATGAATTCAACAACTTACACAGATTCTTGTTTGGGTTATTAGACACATCTACTGCAGGCATTGAAGAAGGATGACATGGAAGAGGAGGACATGGAAGAGGAGGACATGGAAGAGGGAGAGACATGGAAGAGGAGGACATGGGTAGAGTTTTTGTATCCCTCCAACAACAAAGATGGGAAGAATGGTTCCATCTTTTAATCCTGAACGGGTCTTGGAGAACAGACACTACCCTTCCTGATGGGATGGGGTGGAGTACTGGCCAATTCTTGGTCTGGGAACATGGTACAGCACAGGAGAATTCGTTATGCCCGTCAACATCCTGTAAATGAGGGCTTTTCAATCTTGCCCCTACAGCCTCGATGGTGCATGCTGAAGGGATATATCCTATAAGGGGTCCAATTGGATAACGCCACGGTAGTGGCGTAAAAAAAATTTTTTTCATCCCAGCGAGGCACTCAGTATCTTTAGGGCTGCTCAACCGATACCGATGGATCTCAATCCTGCAATGGGCAGAACTTCTCAAGTTTTCATGCTCCGCAATCCAGGCGTGGAAGTTTGGTGAACGGGGGTTTCTCAGCCATCAACAACTGTTTGCCCTGGAGAGTGGAGGCTGCACACCACATCTGTCTGCCCCTGAACTATGTTGAGAGGTGGGGGCTCTTTAGCAAAGGATATAGCTATTCTAAGTTGTACCCACGTCAATGCCCGCCTGGAAGAAGCCAGTTTCCAGTGACCCGAGAATCCTTTGAGCTCTAATGATGACTGAGGGAATCCAGTTTTTGGTCCCATGCTTTATGTCCCGTCGATATAGCTCACCTACCCCTCATCAATTTAGCAGAATACAGTGGAAGGAATTCTTTCGAGGTTGTTCTAACCCCGGCCATTAGTCCCAGAAGAATGAGGGAAGCACATCTGATATTTGTGAAGGTTTTGGCACACAAACCTGAACTTTTTTAGATAGTCCCTCAATCTTCGGATGGCAGGAGTCAGGGTTTTTTTGGGGTTTTTTTAGGTTTGCTGGTTCCAACCCAGATCTTATCGTATTCCCACTCTATGAAAGGCTTGGGAAGGTGCCCTCAAGGAGGACTGACTCAAGTCCTTTATACGTTGTGGTTCTTTAGTATGAGGTTTCCACCGGCCGGGATTCAAACCAATACCATGGGCGAGTAACCTTGAACCGATTCCATCCGGGATATTCCTCTTAGTCCCTCTCTGTAGTTGGCAGGCTTATCTTTCTTGGTGCCCGTAATTACATTTCAGCACAAAGAAATCAGGACTGGACTGTCTCTAATCCTGCGAGGAAATGCCCCTGGTACTCCACCAATGACAATGCGGACTTTTTTTTCAGCTTCATTTCATCCGATTATTTTCTAAGAGTGGCTTTGGTTTGTACCTTTGCAACCAGGACATGTTTAGATGCCCGTCTTTCTGTCCAATAGGGGGGGGTGGGGGGGGGGTGGGGGGACCGACGACAAGGCTCTTCACACTTTTTGGGATGAGTTCTGCTGATCTGGTGTTACAGCTGCAGCGGATTGGTTGGATTCCCTTCTTTGTGCATCGTGGAGGTCCAAGTAAAGGGTCACGCTGCTTTCCAATCCTACCTGCTCTTGTTGGATCCATCAGTTTCCCGGTCTGAGGACATTGGTGACCAGGGGTTTGTGGGTTACATCCCGAGCGGCGTCAACATCGGGTTCAGGTCCCATAAAAGTCCCCCACCTGGTCTTTGGTTCATACCATTTACAAAGTGTAACTACTGGATTCAAGCCGTGAGGGCCCCAACCATTGGGCGGGGGGGTAAAAAATGGGACGGCCTTTGGG